CCTCTCTCTCTCTCTCTCTCTCTCTCTCTCTCTCTCTCTCTCTCTCTTTCTTTAAGAATAATTGATCCTATCACAAAATATGTACTTTGTTGTAGAGTGAAGTTGAAATAGGATTCCATATGGAAAAGATTTACTACAAAAGTGGAGAACACCCATAGTGACAATAGCTGCTCTCCTATCCTAGCGACAATTTTTATTCACATAACTCAAATTGTAAGGAAGGTCTTGCTTTGCCTTACTACACTAAAAAAGACTTTGCCACCTGCGTCTCAGTGCATATCTGTAAATAACAGATTGCACCAATTACGTTAGTGTTCGGTTGCTGTGCATTAAAATAAAAGGCAGCAGGGGAAGAGATTTATAGGCAAATGCCTCCTCTAGTAGAGAATTCTGAAGCTGATAAGCAGAGGGGTATGAATTATTTACTGAATAGAAGCCTTAGAGAAAGGCTTGTAATCAAGCTTGGCTTGCACAAAACAAGAAACCTGTGACTAATTTCAAATAATGTTGTTTGCCTAACAAAGAAGACATTTAAAGGTCAGCTTCATTGCAAAAAATAAATATAATCCCAAGGAAACACTAACCTTATCCTTGAGTCTTACTTAGAATGGACATAAAATAAAATGCAGTGTCATAGGAAGTTGGATGCTTCTTAAGATATTGTGTAATGACTTTAGTTAAGTGCTGGGCAATAAATGAAGAAAAGCCGACAGTGGAAGTTTCAGTTCATAGCAAGCACCGCAGAGACAAACTTAAATAAATGTCGTTTTTAACCTTAAATTTCACTTTAGAAAGTAATAATTTCTAAGCAAGTGCCTTGATATTAGCTTGATATTATTACCCTCTGTGTGCAATTTCCTCCTAGGTAAAATAAATTTTAGCAGTTTGTTAATAATGGAGATAGAGGGAACTTGAAATACAGTGGTCTGAGTTTATATGACTCTTACCACAGATTGGATACTTATAGTCTCTTTTGTTCTTATTTTCTTTATTTTTTAATTTCATACATGAGTACACTGTATTTATGTTATTTTTAGCCCTTTCCCATAGCCATTCAACTTATGGAACCCACTGAGCACAATTAATGATACCCATAAGTACATGTGCTCAGGAATTAAGATTGGGCAACATATAAATGGGCTTGTCCCTGGTGCATGGAAAAACAGGCAGCAGTGTAGAAATAGCACTTTTTATTTACTTTATTAAAGGATTAATATTACAAAAATTTGAAACTTCAGCTCCTCACAATTTGAGAAAGAAGGGAGAAGAGAGCTAATTTAATTGAGGGATAATGGCTGTGAGATAAAGACTTCTACATGTGACAGAGATGCTATACCAATTATATCTCAATAATATGATTGCCTGTACAATGATCACACAAGTCATCATGCCAAGGAAGATGGGTGGAAGTTCTTGGTTTCAAAAGTATAGAAGGTAAATTTGTATACATGTCTTTTATTTTCTCTCTCTCTCTCTCTCTCTCTCTCTCTCTCTCTCTCTCTCTCTCTCTCTCTCTCACTCTCTGTGTGTGTGTGTATGTGTGTGTTTATGTGATGTGTATGTGTGGTTCAGAGGTCAACACAGGATGTCTTACTCAACTGCTCTCCAGCTTCCTTTGTTACTTATATACTCAAATGTGTGTCTCTGTATATGTTCATGTGTATTAATTTTTGTTTGTAGTGTAGGAGTGGACCTGTCAAAGCCATGGGAAGATGATAGTGGTTTCCTCTTTTCCTTTACACCTCACTGACTCTAGGCAGGGTCTGTCAATGAGCCTGATAACCTCTTTTGGCTGGACCAGATGGCCAGCAACCTACTAGCATCACTATCTGTCTACTGATAGAGTTACAAGCACGAGTAGACTAGCCTGGGTTGTTCTTGGTATTTGTTTTGTTTTCTTTGTGGATGTAGGGGATTCAAATTCAAATTCTGATTCTTCTATGTTCCTTACCCACCGAAAACTCTCCCTTGCTCCTTACCTTATTTTTTGAGATATAGTCTCTCACTGAAACTAGAATTTGCTTCTTCACCCCTATTGGCTAGTCATAAATTCCTAAGGACAGTCCTGTCCCTTCCCAGCATTAGGAATATAGGAGTTTATCATTGGAACTTATTCTCTATATACACTGGAGGCCTAAACTCAGATTTCAACGCTTGAATGGCAAACACTTTATTGTCTAAGCCATTTTCCCTGTCCCTTCCCATAAATGTTTAAGGGTTACTAAGTTCATAAAAGGGAATTGCATTATTTATTCATTCAGAAGCATGAGATTTTGCCTTAGGACCTGGCACCAGAATTACAGTGGAACTCCTGCTTCAGAAATCCAGGTATTTTCCAAAAAGGAAAAGCAACGGGGACAGATGGTGTGGAAAAGAACCAAAATATTCTATTACTTAGCCAAGAAGAGTTTCCAGATAAGGAGCCACCCATCCATAACCTTGTCAGTGAATCTTGTCATTTAAAAATCGAGTAAAAAAGTGGCCTCTGCCATCATTCTCTGTACCTTCATAGAATCCTCCTTACTGAGCTTCCCACATACTAGACAGATTACAGATGCAGAGGATGACTTGGAAATACAGATATCTTTGTTTTTCTTTCATGATATGACTTTTGAGGCAGTCTGTTTTCCATTTATGCATAGTAGAGACATACAAACTGAAGGTAACTGAGTCATGACACCTGCACACTGTCCACATAGCAGATTTGATTAGTTTCAGCATTTGTTTTCTATTTCGTACATGCTACTGAAGATAATGCAGCAAATAAGGTCAGTGAGATGGCCTTTCCACCTTTATTTTTCTCTCAGTCACTGAGATCGATTACTACCAAGAAAATAGGGTGTTTTAACATTTCATACTTTTATGAATCTTTGTATGTACAATACTGAGTTAATAATTGCATAGTATTTTTATTGGTGTTTTCCTACTTTGCTAGCATTTGTATTTTCATACAGTATGCATGTTTACCTCAATAAATACATAATAGAATATTACCTATTTTTTCTTACTTTTATTCCTCCTCTGATATTTTTGTCAAAATCACATTACCCATTTATTCATATGCTTTTTTTCAGTGTTTCTCTTTCTAATTAAAATATCCTCTTTCACCATAAAATACAGTTTTTCAAATATATTTACTGAGGTAATTTAAAATTTTATAGTGGAAATTTTGCTGATATTTAATGTCAATTGATTCATTTAAGATTAGAATTAGTTTATTTTTATTTCATATTTTACACACTTACATTATGTATTTCCTATAAAGAAGGAATCAATACACTTATTTATCCACCTATTAGTAAGATTTTCAGTATAATAAATCTTAGTACTTTTGTAAATATTCCAGCACAAATACACTTGTTGCTTACTAACAGCTAATATAACTAAGCAATATCATTTCCAAAATAATTTTATGATTTTAGACTACATTATCTATTTTTATATTCTCCTACTTCTTCCATATCTGTATTCATGTATGTTGTAGACAGGGTTTATGTTGCTGTGGTGAAATATCCTTACAAAAGCAACTTGAAAAAGAAAGGGTTTATTCAGCTTATTCTCCAAAAAAAAAAAAAAATCAGGATAGGAATTAAACAGGGCAGGATCCTGGAACCAGGGTCTGATGTATAGGCCATGGAGGGGTAGCTTACTGGCTTGATCACAATGGCTTGCACAGCCTTCTTTGATTTAGAACCCAGGATCATTTGCCAAGTGTGATCCAACCTACAATGGGCTAGGGCCTCCCACATTAATCACTAGTAAAGAAAATGCCCTGTAGTCCTACATATAGTACTATCTTATTGAGACTTCCACCTCTCCAGTGACTCTAGCTTGAGTCTAGACAACACAATGTGTTTTATTTCTACACGTATTTTCATCTCCTTAATGCATTATAACTAGAGTGTCCACAATGGATATTCATTAAATTCTCCTATAGAGTTGCCATCTTGACCTTTATTTAATTTCTACATTGCTACAAGGCATTCTGATATACTTATTTTCTGGTGTATAAAACATATTTGTTTTACTTTTAGTAGGTGATTTCCAATGATGAATGTTCATTGGCTATTCATTTTTGTGTCTTTTTCAATAATAAGATTTTCCCTGTGCATGGATTTTTGGATGGTTATCTATTTTATATGTTTTTCAAAGATTGAAAAATTAATAAGTTAACAAATTATATTGCTCATGGCAGCATAATCCTCACTCTTCCATTAAAGTTTATCTTTAAATTTTGGAATTTTATCATTTTTACTACAGTTTGCTTAAGTTTATATGTATCATAAATAGAGAGTATCTACTTCTTGAACATGTCACAGTGTCTTTTGGCACTTTTCAAAATTATAGAGCAGCATTTTTTTGAAAATCTTTTCTCTGGAATCACAGTTTTCTTCAATAGAACTTGCAAAATTGTGAATTTTTACAAAATAACCATGCTTTTTTGCTTTGTGTATTTGTTACTTATCATGTCATTATGACAAAAATATCTGACAGAGTAACTTGAACTTGGTTGAAAAAGGATTTTTTTCTGGCTCACAATTTAAGAGAGAATTTAAAATGGTAGGCAGGCATGGTGGTAGGTCTATGAAGTCCGTGTTTCCCTCGTGTCTATGGTCAGGAGGCAGAGAAGTATGCAGTTCATTTGGCATTCTCTTTCACCGCTTTTTATTCAGCCTAAGATCTCAGTTCATATTCATTGTGGATCTTTCTTTATCAGATAAACCTTTCTGAAACACTTTCATTAAGCCATGGATTTGTTTTCATGTTGATTATAAATCTAATAAAAAGATTAATTATTAAACATTCTGTAATTTTATCATGGTTATTTCTGAGTTTAAGTCTAGTTCAATGGTTCTCGGCCTTCTTATTTTTGTTACCTGTTTTAGGTACCAAATATTACCTAAAGTTATTTGGTCTTGATTCTTCCTTGAGAGTACTTACTGTTACTTATCAGTATGTTGAAAACTAAGCCATGTGCCATAGCAGTGGTTTACATAATGTTATTTCTCCCAGATGACCTCTTCTCACTCCTCTGGCAAATTTCTAGATCAAGGGAAAAAAAACTGCTTCAATCCACAATGAACTAATCTGCTTAGGACTGGCTTTTCTTATATAGAGTTCTAGGTACATTTTGTGCTTTGCCTCATTATGATGGTCTTGCTTCTAAATTCCAATTTCTCAGACCCATTAAGTACTTTCTAGACTGTCAAAACACCCATTAATCATTTCATCTGCCTTTCATTAAGATTTTTTTCTCATTCATTACACTGCACAATTTGAATTGAATTGGGAAAGAACTTGAGGGGAAATCCAGACTGTGTTACAGTCAGATTCCACACATCTCTTCTCTCCCACATCTGGGATTCACAAATTATGTCTCTGTAGGAAGCCAATCTCAAAATCCAATTTATAATTTTTAGACTTTAAATTTCATTTTCCTTCTTTCCTGTTTTCATAAAAATCACTAAATGCTACGCTGGTTTCTCTGCATCCTGGCATTCACCCGTTGCCAAGCTCTTTGGCTTCTAACTCTGAGGAATCAGGATTTGGAAGGACCTCAAGGGGAAAAGTGAAGCGTAAGTTGTTAAGCCTCAGTAATTTTGTCCTCAGTCAAGATGTAGCACCTCCTGCTACTCACTTCACGAGTACTTGAAAACTAGACATGTGCATTTTGAATTCATTTTGAAAAATTTCAAACAAAGAATGAAAAAAATTTCAGAATTCACAGCACCAGCTCTTTTTCAGGGGGCTAGGGAAGTAGAATAGATCTTCTATGGGTAAAATTATTTTCCTGATTCTAGTTCTTACATTCAGTTGTACATTTAAATGTAGGGTTTATATATGTAAATTAATAAATAAATTTTTGGAATGTAATGAGTCTTCACAGAATGGCACTGTTGTTTATTTATGATTATGATTAACCCTATCTGTTTTAACCCTTCAATACTTTAATTCATCATGCTAAATATGAAAGAGTTTAATTGATGTTATCCTACATAGGGAATAAAGGTCCTCCACGAAATGATAGGTTATCAAATAAAATTCCCGTGCCAAGTACTTAGTTAAGGGTGTCCCTCAAATCCCCAAAACAACACCAGTTGCTACCATTTGTTTAGTTGCCTACCAGAGGTCTCTATTGCTGAAGATATCATACACATTAGTCACTGGATATGGAGAAATTAACTTGGTACTGACAGGATGCATTTTTCCTTAATGGCTAGATTTCATACCACATATCTGTTTTCTGATTGAATTTAAAGGTCCAATCTGCAGGAGGAAAGGCATGTCTAGTACTGCAAGACTATTCTAAATCACACCATAAGGGAGCTCACAGGCTTCTGAACCTAATTTTATCATTTTACTACATAGACAGAATATCAAACAGCTCTCTGCATTCCTGTCTCAGTACATACAGATTACTGCATTTCTCTCAGATGTTGTCTGAGTAATTTCATTGTGCAGTGGATGGTGGCTAAGGCAGCAATTTGAAACTTGTTGAAGTTATGAAAATAAATGCTTGTGGAGGGTCTAGCTATAAATGGGACATGTATATTAATTCTTCACCAAAGCTCAGGGATAATCATGGAGGAACATATCAAATGATTATAAGAGCCAAAGGTGGAGGAGGACCAAACTGAAAGTGTCTCCTCAAAATGAAAGGATAGTCAAGTCTCTTTTACAGGCTTGGGGGAAGAGCCCTGACTACATTCTCACTTGTCAATGGTCTCAGTTCTTAACACTATCATATCAAATCTCTTATTGCTATGTATGTTTGTATGAGTTACCAACCTTCTAGAAATAATGATACATTTTAAACAAACAAAATATTAGAATATTTGTTTCTGAAAAGGTACATTTACTAACTAAAAATATAACTGATTTGTATATTGATACTTAGAATACCAAAACACTAAACAAAATGTCTAATACTCTTTTTAAGGAGAATGAATTATGATGATCCTGTTCTTGTACATATTAATGCCTTACATGTTAAATTCATGGATATCAATAATTTGTTTGCTCACTTATTTATAAGATGTTGTCTTACTATGTAGCCTTGACTGTCCTGGAACAAGTTACACCGATCAGGCTTGCCTCAAACTCATAGAGATCTTACAGCCTCCAGCTTCTCAATGAATGGACCAAAGGCATGAGTCCTCACACTTTTCAAATATCTATAAAATTTTTTTCTTTTTTGAGACAGGGTTTCTCTGTGTAGCTTTGCGCCTTTCCTGGAGCTCACTTGGTAGCCCAGGCTGGCCTCGAACTCACAGAGATCCGCCTGGCTCTGCCTCCCGAGTGCTGGGATTAAAGGCGTGCGCCACCACCGCCCGGCAAATATCTATAAATTTTATGATCAAGTAAGGAATTCAGAGGAACAATAAATTCCATCATCAATAAATAAATTACATAGGATATACAAATAGACACAAAATATGACAATCAATTAAAAAAGCCTAATACTCAGATTAGCATACTTGAATATTTATTGAATTAACAAAAAAATAATTAAATAGATTTTTACATTCAAAGTCCTTACGTAAGATTATGGTTTTGCCCATGTAAGGATGCTTTTTAATTACACTGTATCAGCACACAGTAATTATACAAAATGTGTTCCATTTTCATGTATAAACATAACATAACTGGTCCTCCTCATCCTCTACTATTCACTCCTTCATCCATTATTCACTAGATGCCAATAAACAGAAGAATGGCTAAGGGGAATATCATGTAAGGAATTTGAAATGAAACCTCTCAGTATAATTTGAGACAACTTTATTGCAATTCTAAGTCGTTTAAAATTTTAGGTACACAGTTTTAAAGATGGTGCAAAAGACACACTTAAGGGTTTGGAGAAATGATTTAATGGTTAAGATTATTGGCTTTATTTCTCTGGACCCTGGTTCAATTCCCAGCACCTACATAACTGCTCACCCATCATTTGTAACTCCAATTAAATGGAATCCAATCTCTTATAGCTGCCTCAGGCACATACATGCATACGGAAATTATTTATACAATCAAATAAAAATAAAAAATCTTTAAAAATGCATGAGGAAGTTCTGAGAAGAATTGGGGAGGAAAAATGATCAAACTATAATATATGAAAAGCCAAGAGGGTATATGAGAAGATTTGAAGGAAGGAAAGGGAAGTGAAAAATGTAATATTATAATCTCAAAAGTAAAAAAAAAGTCAAAGGAATAAATATTGAATTTATATTTTGATTTAAAAATATTTTTAGTGTCCCCAAAATGTTTTCCTATAATGATAAAAATTATTCCTTAAAAATAAACAGAAAATAGAAATGTATTTGTTCTGAAATTCCAGTCTCGACTTTACTGAAGATTTTCAAGGAAGGTTGAAAAACATTTCTAAATTTTTTGAGTCTTTTGAAGTTCTTCTTCACAGCTTTGTATTTTTCAAATTTGTATGTAAATCCTGTCAGGTACTGTGTCTCTTCAAATGATACAATAGTGCATATATATTCATCCAAGTGATTAGAATTAATAACCTATTAATGACTAGTCAACCCTAAATCATATGAAAATAAAAAACACACACTTGTCCACAGTCCACAGATGATTGTTATTAATCATCTCCTCTTTTGTCCTGCTCTCCTTGAATTTTGAATTTACTTATATTGTAAAGATCTATCATTGTGAGCCTCATCACCATCATCCACACCCTCCTACTTCATTGGAGTACAAACTCCACGTTAACAAAATTCTCTTAGAGCAACTAGCTTTGGTTCTACGTTAAATAAAGTCCTTAGTCATTAAAGATTAATTCAATTTAATTAATGCTGGGTTTTATTAATATCTAGTTAGTTAACCTGAAAAAGCAGATAATGCAAAAAGAACGTTGTAGAGCTACTGATTCTACATCTGTGCATTCAAACTAATGCAGGCAATTATTTTGATAATTTTATCAGTATTGACCCTGTGTAGACTTTGAATTATCATCTACAATGTACTTTAAAATAGGGCATTAAGCTTTTTACACATGCTATTTATAACAAATTATTTAGCGATATATAGGGGACCATGTGACTATGTTATATGTAAATGTCCTGCTTTGTGTAAGTGCTTTGAGTATCTATAGGCTTCAATATCCCTGTGGATCATAAAACATTTCTCATGAATAAGGGATAATTATTATCACCAGAACATAAATAAATTCTAAATTTATATCCCTAGTTAACTTCAAACAATTCTTGTTACAGGTGTTAATAAATTACTCCAGAATTCCTAGAAAACAGATTTTCTCCTTTGATATTTTCATATGCATGCTACTTAAAGTTTCCACTAGAGTCTGTAATACCTGATTGTGGTTTGGTAAGAAAAATACTAAATTATTACAAATGCTTATTGGTTTTATATAAAAAATACAAGCAACAATATTTTACCAAATTTAGGAGTCTGAATCATTTGCATTGCACATTGTTTGACAGATCAATTTAATTTCATTTACACAAGATGGGTATATTAAGAAATTATGTATTCTTTAGAATGTAATTTCACAGGATTTCTTTTTTTCTAGCAGTAAATACTAATATTGCCCAGGTGATATAAATGGAAATAAAAACAGATCTCAACATATTCAACTGGAGATATAAACATCTCTCTATACATACATATATATGCAGTATTTAGCAAAAAACTACAACTGAGTAAATGACCAAAAGGACATAAACAATTACCAACAAGGGAAACTTTGTTTGGCACCTTCTAAAACAGGCTTTGTGAACGAGAAGGCTCTTTGGTTAAGAGGACTTCGTGTTCTTGAAAAGGACCCAAATTCAGTTCCAATCACTCACATCAAGTAGCTTAAATACATCTGTAATTCCATTTTTAGAGGATTCAGCAATCTCTTCTGCATACTAGATACAATAATACACATGTGATACGTATTCACATGCTCAGGCACACATATACACATACATAATATAATATTAAATAATTAATTCACTTTTAAAAATACAAAAGGCTTTGATTTTCATCTCTGTAGTCAAAAACAATAAAAAGCTAATCAAACATAC